GGAATGGATCCCACTGGGAAAGGGGAGATTGGGAAGGGATTCCTGGCACTGTTTCCCACTCCCGGAGCCGTGTCCGTTCCCGGGCTCAGCAGCTCCAGGCCCAGCTGGGGCCGTTCCGGCAAAACAAGTGTCGAAATCCCGGAAAAGTCCCCAAAAAAAGCCCAGTTTGGGAGCAGTTTTGCCCTGTCTGCTCCATGACTTCACCGTCTGGGAAGGGCAGGGCCGGGAAAACCCAAAACCGGCTCCAAGAGGGGCTAAATCTTCCAAGGAAAACCTTTTTTCCCATCCCATTTGGAGCTGAGGTTTCCCAGGAAAAAGCCCCCCCGGAGCTCAGACCTGGCCACGCTCGTGACAATTCCAAAGAATTGAAGGAAAAAAAGCTTAAAAATCCCTTTTCCAGCTTTTTTTTCCACAGGAAAAATAAAAAAACAACAACAAACAGGGGGATGACACAAGTTGTTTTCCTTGGAAAAAAGATCCTGCTGAGAGCTCAGAGTTTTCCTTCCAGCCACAGGCACTGGAATATTTCCCTGCACTGAGAGCCGAGAAATTCCTGCTGTTTCTCCCGGTTTTACCCCTTCCCAAGGCAAGAATCCTGGGATATTTGTAATTGTGGGAAGCTGGTTTAATCCCAGCAGCTCCCAGATTCCCAGACTTACCCCAGCGCTGTCTCCCACTGCTCCAGACGTGGAAGTGCAGGACACATTCCCAGTTTTCCGTGGAGATGCTTCTCCTCTACATCCCGACTCTCCCAGATTCCCAGAGCTCTCCCTGTTTTCCCTGCCCTCCTCCTGGGGCTCAGGGATCCTTCCCAACACCCCCCTCTCCTCCGGGGTGGTTTTGTTTCCATCCACCAGCTCCGCGTTTTTCGCCGGCTCCTCGTTTTCCCGCGGGGATTTGGGAAGGGCCTGGAGAGCCTTGGGGTCTCCGGGGTTTTTCTTGGAGTGGGATTTCTTCCTGGCAGCGAAAAAAGCCGCTCCCAGCTGGAGCTTCAGGGCCGGTTTCACCTTCATGCTCAGCACCCGGAAGGGAGAATCCATCTTTTTCTGGATGAGGCAATTCCCGGATTCCCTCTCCGCGCTCGGCTTTCCCGCCGGGAGCTCTCCCTTGGTTTTCCTTGGTTTTGGGATGCTCTGGCCACGTTTGGGATTCGGGGCGTGTTTGGCTGCCCTGGGGTTTGGATTCCTGCTCCCATTCCCGCTCCAATTCCCGCCGCAATTCCCATTGTTCTTCTCCATCCTTTTGGCAGCTGGGACATTCCCGTCCCCGCTCCTCATTCCCAAAACCTGGATCTCCTTCAGCTTCTTCCTCTCCACAGGATCCAGGTAGTTTTTCCCTTTGCCATAAAAAGACCCCACAGGCACGTGGGGCTTGGAGAAGGAGGTTTTCAGGGATAATTTCCTGGGAGATTCCCCCTGGAGCGGGGAGATCTCCAACCTCCTGGAAATCCCTGGTTTTGCCGGGACATCCCTGTTTTCCTTCAGCTCATCCCCAGAGCTGGGAGACCATCGGATCTGGGAGGCAAAGCGCATATTCCCGGATTTCTGGGAGGGGGAAGGACCCTCGGGAAGGGCTTTGATCCGTTTCTTCATGGGGGTCTGGAAAGCCGAGGGGGAACTGCAGGAAAAAAATCAGGGAATGAGGCGTCACATCCCGCCCGGAGCTGCTCCGGGAGCTGGGAATGACACCTTTATCCTGCTTTTCTGGATTAATTAGGGCTGTTTGTAATTAAGGTTGGGTTTGTTCCTGGAAAATCCCCTAATCCCTGTGTGTGTGAGGCTGGGAAAGCTCAGGGAGTTCTCCCGGGATGGTTTATCCCGGTTTTTGGGAGTTGTGCCCCCCAAAATCCCACTCCAAAAAGCTGTTTCAGCATCCCAAAAATCATCAGGAAATCACAAATAAACCTCTGAATCCATTTCCCAAAATGATACAACTTTTAGGAAGGGCCTGAACAATTCCAGGGTTCTGGAATTACAATTTTTAGGAAGGGCCTGAACAATTCCAGGGTTCTGGAATTACATTTTTAGGAAGGGCCTGAACAATTCCAGGGTTCTGGAATTACAATTTTTAGGAAGAGCCTGAACAATTCCAGGGTTCTGGAATTACATTTTCAGGAAGGGCCTGAACAATTCCAGGATTCTGGATTTACATTCTTAGGGCCTGAACAACTCCAGGGTTCTGGAATTACATTTTCAGGACGGGCTTGAACAATTCCAGGATTCTGGAATTACAATTTTCAGGAAGGGCCTGAACAATTCCAGGGTTCTGGAATTACAATTTTCAGGAAGGGCCTGAACAATTCCAGGGTTCTGGATTTTCAATTTTAGGAAGGGCCTGAACAATTCCAGGGTTCTGGATTAACATTTTCAGGAAGAGCCTGAACAATTCCAGGATTCTGGATTTACAATTTTAGGAAGGGTCTGAACAATTCCAGGATTCTGATTTATATTTTTGGGAAGGGCTTGAACAATTCCAGGGTTCTGGATTCCCATTTTTAGGAAGGGCCTGAAACAATTCCAGGGTTCTGGATTTACATTCTTAGGAAGGGCCGGAACAATTCCAGGATTCTGATTTATATTTTTGGGAAGGGTCTGAACAATTCCAGGATTCTGGATTTACATTCTTAGGGCCTGAACAACTCCAGGGTTCTGGAATTACATTTTCAGGACGGGCTTGAACAATTCCAGGATTCTGGATTCCCATTTTTAGGAAGGGCCTGAACAATTCCAGGATTCTGGATTAACATTTTCAGGAAGAGCCTGAACAATTCCAGGATTCTGGATTTACAATTTTAGGAAGGGTCTGAACAATCCCAGGATTCTGATTTATATTTTTGGGAAGGGTCTGAACAATTCCAGAGTTCTGGATTTCCATTTTCAGGAAGGGCCTGAAACAATCCCAGGGTTCTGGATTTACATTTTTTAGGAAGGGCCTGAACAATTCCAGGGATGATTAAAGTCCCTTCCCACCCAACCCATTCCATGATTCCACGACAATGAAGCTGCTTTTCCCGGGAACAATCCCTGGGAGGGCAGATCTGGACTCACCCGTGGGAGGTGGGGGAGCCCCGGCTCCGTTTCCGGGGGGTTCCGGGTGCCTCGGCCTCACTGGGACACCTGGAAAACCCACAATTCCCACGGTTTGAAACGGAATTCCAGGGAAAAAAAACCCCTCAAAATTAGGAAATGAGGGAGAGAAGGTGAAACACAGGGAACAGAATCCCAGGGGGAAGCAGCCCAGGAATGACAGAGGTGGGAATATCAGGAGCAGCTTCCAGGTCCTGAGGCACAAACTCATCCCAAAATCCCACCCTTAAATAATTCCAATAATCCAGGAACGTGTTTTCCTGTCTGTCTCTCACAAACCTCTTTCCAGAACTAATTCCTACAATCCTGCCTTTATTCCTGGTCAGTTTATTCCCACAGGATTTCACCTCCCAGCTCCTTCACCCTCCACTTTCTCCTCCCGCTTCCCACGGAGCCAAATCCCATAAATCCCTTTTTTTTTGGCCTTTAGTGTTACAACAATTTAAACCAGTTCTGCTCCACCTCTCCCAGTTTGGGAGAATTATTGGGACAGCAGTTTTTCCTGCTGCTGGAATTTTGCCCAACTGGGAAACGCCCCAAAATCCACAAAAACCTGTAGCCAGGAGGGGAATAAATATTTTAATATTTGTTAATGATAAATATTATGCTTATTATTTCGTTAATAATAAGTATTTTAATCTAATAGAAATAGAATATATTCCAGGGGGGTCTCTGTGGGGTCTTGGAAGGGTCTCTCTGGGCTTCCCAAAGCTTTGGGGTCCCAAAAAATGCTGTGGGGTCCCAAAGCCCTTGAGGGTGGTTTTGTGGGGCCCCCAAAGCTTTGGGGGGGGTCTCTGTGGGATCCCCAAGCCCTTATGGGGTCTCAAAGCCCTTGGGGGCCCCCAAAGCTTTGGGAGGTTCTCTGTAGGGTCCCCAGGCCCTTCATGGGGTCCCAAAACCCTTGGGGGCCCTCA